GCCCAAATGAGCCAGTGCCTGATCACTTTAATATTTTTAATCTAAATACCCTCAGTCTATTTCCCTGAGGCAGGGAAATACTGTTATTCCCATTCTGAGTGAAAGAAGAGGGGGGTTAAGTGGCTTACCTAAAATGATACAGGGAGTGTGTGGCAGAAAGAGGTACTGAATCCTTGGCCAACACCAAGCCATCTTCCCGAGCTTTTAGAGACAACAGCTATATCCAGCCCCCTTTATTTATTTCTCTAGAAGCTATCAAGCCAAAACCTCTGCTAAATTAGAGAGTGAGACTGAAGGAAAGCTTTCAGTGGATTGCTTTTTTCCATAAATGGAAATACCACAAATCATTCTGGGAAAGCAGGTCTTTCTGTTCTCGTCCCTCTTTGTCTGCTTCTCTCCTTTTGGACGTCTTTTCCTCTGCCTCTGGCTCCCAGTTTTCAGATGTACAGTCCTGACCATTTAAAAGTGTTCCCACCCTGCAGGAAGGGAGTAGCTTTTCATTCTTTGGAACTTACTATTTTGCAATGGCTTGCACTCTGCAGGCAAGCGAGACTTCTGATAGAGACAGAGCTGCACAAAGCGGCACAAAAATAAACCGTATCACCAACAATACCGAGCCAGGTTCTCATCGGGGGTAACTCGGTCTGACTCTCGCTGCAGCAGAGCTGATGGCTGCCAGCTGTCCTGGATAGACAGCATGTACCCAAACGATGACCTGGCCACACTGGAGGAGGTCTCTCTGAGCAGTTAACTTTGGTTTTCATGCATCTTAGATATTCAGTCCCTCTTGGCAGTATGGCAGGTGTCTCTGTTCTTAATGCTCCACCTGGGCAACTTCTGTCCGGGTCCAGGCACTGAGGGGGTGCCCGTTGTACCAGTCCTAGCTCCTCCAGACTGCATTTTCCAAAGCTTGGGCAGGGGACAAGCAAATGGTGGGGATCTCATCTAAGGACTCCCAGTAGTACCCCGGGCACTTGGGGGCTGCTCTGTGATTTTCCACGGACCTGGGTGTCCACAGCCTTTCTGTCCGGAGACAAGTCAGAGCTCCTCCCTGCCTCCTTTGCAGCCTGCACATCCCAAAGTAGGCTGCTTGAAGGAAGCCCACACCAGGGAGAGGGAGGTGGCTGCGATGAATGAGAGAGACTGAGAAACAGGAGGAAGATCTGGTGGGTGAGCACAAGAAAGAGGATGAGGGGAGAGCCTGAACTGCTCTGGGAGAGCAGCAGGGAAGAGGTGGAAGCACATGGCTTAAGTTTCTCACAGTGGCATGCAGGAGAAGCCAGAGAGTTCGACACCTGCCTGTTTCAGGGTTCGCAGCATGAAACAGCTCAAGTCAGGAAGAATGGGAAGGGCAAAGGGACACAAGTGCAGAGGAGACATTGCTCTTACAGCTTTGAGGGGCTCTCAGAGCCCTACACGCCCTCCCAAATAATGATTTACTCTTGCTCAGGCATTCAGGAGTATTAACTACAGGGTGGCACATGGCTCTTCTCTCCCTGGCTCTGCAAACCGCGTGTGCAGCACGGGAAAAGGCTGTTGTGTCAGACCTCGGCAGCGCTGCTGAGCTGCTCCATCCCCCTCCCCGCGTGTGGCCGCGGCACTTCCACCAGCGCAGGTGCCAGGGAGTCTGCTGCACCATCTCAGCAGGCCACAGATATCCGTCAGAGAATTGCCGAGTGACCTTGCTGCAAGAAGTGACATCGAGGCCTTCCTCGCACCGAGCAGGTTTCTGAACCACTGCCATCCGTCACTCACATACTCTGTGCGCTTGCACAGCCGCTGGCACCAGCGCACCCACACCATGCCCTCTTTAACACGTCTCTGTATGGCACGAGGCAGAGGAGTGCTGTCACCCCCATTTTACAGGGTGGGACTTTAAGGCAGAGAGAAGTGGTTTAACAGCATGCCTGTGGCAGAGCAAAAACTGAATCTTGTTCTCTTATATTCCCAGTTAGAGCATTAATGACCTAAATTCTGCATCCTTTCCCCATCCATCGCCCAGAGGAGCTAGGAGGGTGTGGTAGCACGGGTGAATAGTCAGCATCCAGAGTCACGGCGCTCTGTGCTGAGCACAGGCAAAGCAGGGGCTAAAGTGGGACCAACGCTGCGCACCCTGCCCTCACAAACCCCGACAAGGTTGAGCCAGGGAGGAGGATCAGCCTGGCACAGCATATCATCCTGCGGTGAAGGGCAGCTCCTCGATGCCAGAGCATTTTAAGCAAGCCAAGGCTGGACACCCCACTGGCCAAGCACCCTGCTGAGCCAGATCAGTGAGGCCTTTTGGACAGTCAGTACTGGGAGCAGATTTTCAAAGAGTCTGCATGTCCCCTCACCCTGCCTAAGCAGCTGAACCTCTAACTAGCTATCCCACACAAGTCCATGTAAAAGACACCCTGTACAAGATGCAGCTTCTTTCCCAAGCAGCTTGATTCTTCACATAGTAATTAATCAGGCTCAAATACAGCAAGAAACAGAATGGGGGAGAGGGAGAAGAGAGGAAGCAGGGAAAGGATAGCACAGAGTGAGGGATTTCCAGATGCAGTGCCTCTTCCCTCCCTGGCTGATTCCAACAGGGGGGCTCTGGCTGCACACCGGGACCCTCACCTGGGAGGTGCATGCACGCTCTGACTGCTCCCTGAGTGTGTACGGGCAGGAGACACTCAGCGTTCAGGATGTGTTGGGCAAGGAGCTGAAATCTGAGTCTGAAGACTTCTCCGGTGCCTCGGAGAGCGGCAGTGTTCACGTGCACTGTACAGCAGTGATCACAGCCAAAGGACCAGGGTGATAAGCTGCTCATCTGTTGTGGGCAGATGGCCCCAGGCAGTCAGGGGCAAGCAGGGGAAAAGACCCCCTTCATGTTGTACCTGCCTTCCTCACAGGTATTTAAATGGGCAAGTAGCAGGGTGGGAGTGTGGTAAAGGAATTTGCTTGGCTATGAAGCTTTCCTTCCAGAAGAGCCATGGCTAAGAAGCAGACACTTCTTGAACAAGGTAACTGGATTGGGAATGGGTGATTAATTATCTCCTTTCATAACCCACAGTTTCAGTGTGGGAATAACACTACAGAGGTACATGGAGAGGCTTTGTTCCTACTTTCTTCTCCTATTACTTACCTCTTACATGTGCGCACACACTCCCCTCTGCTGTCTCTAGCATCTTCATGGAAGCTCTTTGAACTACTAGTTAAAGGCGATAGGTATCTCAGAAGCATCAGACACCAGCCGACTGGATGCAGAAGGAGCCGAGCTTGGGGGCTGACCTAGAGGAACCCACCTACCTGCCTTCTACAGCTATTTGCTCAGCACTGCCTCCCAAAACATTCCAAACCTTGCTCCAACAAGGCTTGGCCTTGAGAAGAAACGCAGGGGAAAACCTTTGAGCTTGGTGATTCTTCCAGCTGTTCCCAAATATCTGAAAGATCATTGGAATTCATCTGGAATAAACCTTCCAAGAAATTACTTGGGTACCTGACCTGGTCCCTGCAGGTCTCAGCCAGGGTAGGGTTGGCCTGGAAGATCATCCCTTCCCAGAGGTAACAACCACAAGTCTGGTGGCTTCATTGTCCCCTCACCCTGCACACCCAGCTGGTCCAGAGGCTGGGCTCAGGGCCAGGGTGGCAGGTGGCTTTCCCCAGGTGCCACAGTATTGTCCAGACTCAGGCTCCAAACTCTTCTGCTGAGGGATCAGTCAGCCTGAGCCACTTTAGTGGCTGACCTCTGTTGAGGGGGCCCATGGGATCACCATGCCTATCCATGCACCTCATGTGGGCACTGCATTCCTCCTTTCTGGGCAGTCCATCCATGCTGTGTTAATGGCCAGCGAGTGCAGGAGTCCAGAGGGAAATGTAAGGGAAGGCAGGAGAAAAAGTTTGGGAGAACCCCAGGAGGTATAATGAAATTGTCTTCCACATGGTCACCCTGTACAAGCATGAACAACCTGATCCTTTGAGATACTAGTCAACCAGTAGTCATGTTGATGACATGGCTTGAGGATTACCTCTCTGGAGTGGTATTCCTGATTTCAAGAGGAGAGAGACATGAATGATGAAAATAAGAGCCTGGTAGACATCTCAGATGACAAAAAACTGGGAAGATGTCACTGGCCTCCTGCTGGGATGCCTTTGCTGGTCGTGGAGCATGTGAAAAAAGATGCCCCATGACCAAAGCTAGCAGAAGGCCCTGTACATAAACCAGCCTGACGAAACAGAGGGTGATCAGCCCAGCTTCCCTCACTTACGGCAAAAGATTTTGCTCCCCCAGTGCAAAGGGTGTTTCACTGCTGAGCTGCATACACACGCTTGCACCGAGCTTCTTGTAGCCTTAGTCTGAGAGGACACAAGAGGAGGCCTGATAAAGGTATACAAAAACAAGCAGTCATACAGAGAAAGTAGATTAAGAGCTTTTGTTCTTCTCATACCGCACCAGAGTAACGGGATGTATCCTGCCCGTGAAATGAATAGCAAAGTCACAGCTGAAAGAAACAAACACTTTTCCACCCAAACCTGACCGCCCTGCCATACACAGCACTGCTGGGAGGCCACACCAGGTGAAAGACAAACACCCACTGGTCGATGCTGAGGGAAGGGACCCTGACTCTCATGCTTCGCAGCATGACCCAGACTCTGGCTCCTCTTCCCACACCACCTCCCTCAGAGGCAGGCAGTGCTCTCCTGTCCATCCGCAGCAGGAGCCATTCCTGCCGGCCAAAGCCTCCGGCGCTTTCCGCCGTTGAGCGAGGGGCACTGGGCTAGGTGGGCCTCAGGCTGGATCCCGACGGCAAATCCCATGTTCCCGTGCAAATAAGAGGGAGATACGTGTGCAAGAGGGAGATACGTGTGCAAGTGAGTGAGGAGAGTACCTGGGCATTTAACAGGGATCCATACATGAGTGGGCGTGCTGCCTGGGAGGCCGGGCGGGCGCAGAGGGCGATGCAGAGGGCAGCTGTTCCTGCGAGGCAGGTTTTGGTGTTCTTATTTGTTCTTTTTTTTCTCTTGTTCCCTAGGGAATTTTAAAGGTCTGTGTAAGCAAATCGATCACTTCCCTGAGGATGCAGATTATGAAGCCGATACAGCAGAATATTTCCTCCGTAAGTCTGCAGGCTCTTCTCCTTGCAATGGCTCGTAGGTGCTAGCATCGGATGCCTTTTGCTTTCTGAAGGTAGGGTGGTGGAGACGCTGGGACCTGTGAGGTTCAGCGGGCCAGAGGAGGCGATCCCAGAACCTCGCCACCCCCCAAAAATGGCTCCACTCTCGCCTCTCTGGGGCCCTGCCCATGAGACAGTGCAAGTTTCAAACTCATAGTAACAACCAGAGGCATTTTTTATTAACAGCAATTGATTACGATATAAATAAGAGTCTTAATTCAAATCCATTGGAGAGCTGCTGAGTGGGCATAAGGTCAGGACTGGGCTAGCTGGGGCACTGTGAGTGTGTGTGAGTGTGTATGTCCTCCTAAAGCAGAGGAAGTTTATATTTCCTTACCTGTTACTCGAGTTGCATCAGATTTAAGAAATTAGCTGGACTGTGTCCGAGGAGCACCTATTTCTGTCTTCATCAACACTTGCCTAAAGAGGGTGCAGATCTGATCTTTGCTGGTTTAATGAATTTAGTGATGGGAACGGGAAGCAGGTACAAGGACAGTCAGAGCATTTCTACCTGCCCCACTTGCTCGTCCTTTAGCACAGCTGAACAGGGATCACTCCTCTTAGGTCCCCACCTTGCTATCCTGCCCTCCCTTCACAAGCCCAATGCCTTTTGACATCACGAGAAGAGTTCTCCCTTCAGAAATCTGAGATAAGAGCTTTTGACCTCTCAAGGTTAAGTATCAGAGGTCTCCAAAGGCCAGGAGTCTTTCAAAATAGCTCCTTGTCATCCGGGCGTGCTCCAAGCCAGATGTGGAGACCCAGCCCTGCGGCAGCGATGAGAGAGATAATTTAGGCTCCGCGAGGCTCATTTGTATGTGAAAAGAGGCGGATCTCATGCTGCTTCCTCTTGGTTTCTCAAACAGTTCTTCATCCACTGTAAATTGTAAATAACCCAGGGAGACTGCTTCTTTCAGATGCCTTTCTGCAGCATTGGTCTCTAATTCGCTGCATGGCCGCTGAACGGCAGAGCTGAAGACTGGGGTTTGATCCACTTTGGCACAGCAACTGTGCAGGATGTCTCTGAGGGCAAACCAGCTCTTGCAGAGTTGTTTGGGAGCGAAGAAGCTGCTTGCAGCATCAGCTGCATTTCAGAAAGAAGAGTTGGGGGAGGAGGACGAACATCTCAAGAAGGATGGGTCTGTTCCCTCAGAGGGAACAAGATCTTAAGACAAAAATTGGCCTTACGTCAGGGCCTGACAGTGTTCCCAGGATAGAGCCCTTTTTAAGAAAGAACCAGGTTCAAAGAGGGATTTGGCAACTCAGTAAAGGACTACACGGGTCACTCCTGAGGGAAGTGGGATTTCTGCCAGCTTAGACCTGACTGGAGAGGGACCCCACTGAACAGCTTCTTCCCAGGATTTTTGCCAAACCGGAGTCCCAGGATGCTCTGCATGGGCGATGCCTGGAGGTACTGGCAAGAACTGCTAGGAAGAAGTTGTTTATTAGTATCAGACTAGGCGATTCTGTCATTCGGGGACCAGGAGGATTGTGGGGTAGTGTCCGTGGCCTGGCTAGAAGGGCTAAGACTTTATTTCTGCCAGCTGTCCACATAAGGTGTCTTAGGCTTTTTGAAATCAAACGCCTGTTGTCAGAGAGGAAGCAGAAGCATCCCTGCATTTCTTTGCTAGAAGACACTTGAGTTAGAAAGTAGACAGATGATACGAGGGAGCATCCGAACACGTCATGAGTCCTCTTCTCTTTAGAACAAAGGCTCTGGACCCAGGAGGACTGGGTGAGATTCTGCCCCTCTCTTGCTGGCATGGTCCTCCTCAGGGGCGGAGCGAGGCTGCTGCCCTCCCCCATCACATAAAGTCCACAGCTCCCCATGTCTGACCACTTTGTGTTCTCTCAACATACGCGAATTTCAGAACTAAGACCCAGATAAAACTGCTGTGGTCAGGGCCAGCCTGTGGGACTGACCGAGCATCCCTCTAGAAACCCTCCAAACAGCAGGTGTCTGCTTGATGTTTGTTTACTGCCATTTAAGCTTCGCATTGTCAAATCCCGCCTTGCTTTCCAGAAGCTATTAAGAAGGTTATTATCACTATCCTGTTCCCTGAAACATGGCCAGGCAGAACTGGAAAGCAAGCAAGAGAGGTTTCTCCATGCCTTTTTCATTCCCCATGCACAGGCAGTGGGCTAGGACCCCCCTCAAAGAGCTGATTGCTTGTGCCTAGTAGGATCCTGATGCCAACAGGGTCTTTGAAGCACGGTCTCTGCCCACTTAGGAAAAAGTCCTGTGCTTGCTTTAGTAGGGTTCATTCTTGCAGGCAAGGAGGGATTAGCTTTCATCCCCCTTCCAGATCTTTGCTCCACAAGCAGAATTGCACCAGCCCACCTGATACCTTTCTTTATCAAGCAAGGCTTCATTTCACATTTTAACAGCTTATTTTCTCTTGAGAAGGTGGGAGGGAAGGCCTTCCTGCTTAAAAAATATGAATATTGGCAACACAAACTCAGGCAGACTGTTGGTACCCACTGAACAGCCCAGCAGTAGTGTGTGTGTGTATGTGTGCATAGGTGTGTGTATACACAGTCCTGGCCTTTCACTGTGTAAATACGAGAGAGTGCCCCCCAGAAGCTTTGGGGTACGTTTTGCATGCGCATATGAGCGTATATGTGCATCTATGCCATTGCCCTCTGCTGGCTGAGCTCTTCCCGTATCGATTGATGGAGAGTGCGCGTGGGGAGCTGGCACATCCAAACACATCGCTGCCCTCTGAAAGGAGCCCAGACATTTAATCACTAGGATAAGCCCTCCGTTTCAGCGCGCAGGGCTGGGACTTTCACTTCTCAGTCCTCACTGCAGCCGCAGGGCGCTGCACAGCACTAGGAGCTCCTTAGCTCCTTCCCAGCTCTAAAAAAAAAAAATAAAAAAATCTCCTTGAGATGTTCATGCCCTTTCGGGAGGATTCGAGATTGAGCAGCTCTGCAGGAAGCATTTGGGTTGCTGCTCTTTGAAGAGCAGGCTCAAGCGGCAGAGCCCTGCAGGAGAAGCTGGATGGTGCCGGGGCTCCCCCTCCAGCTTGTAGTCCCCCCAAAAGCAGAGGAAAAGGCAGCGGAGGGTGGACAGGCAGCACGGGCAGGCTCCCAGCTCAGCCACTGGCCCTGCAGTCCCCTCCACCTCCCCGCATGGGGCCACCAGCTTCGTGGCCGAGTCAGCAGTCAGGGTACAGGAGAGCTGCTTTGGACTGCTCTCTTTTTCTGACACACTTTGTTTCTCTCTCCCTCCCTCCGCCCCCCAACACCTTTATCCTTCCTTGAATTACTCCTCTCCCTGCACATTACCCCCCGTCTCTCTCTCCCCTTTGCCCCCGCCCACGAAACGTGCTCGCGTCCCCCCATCCCCTTGCCCCGGTGCCATTTCCGTGCCCCTTTTTCCTCTTTCTCACACCCGTGCTGTTCTTTCTGCCCCTCTCCCTCTCTCCTCCGCAGGGGCTGTTAGAGCCTCTAGTATTTTCCCGATCCTGAGTGTGATTCTGCTTTTCATGGGTGGACTCTGCATTGCAGCCAGCGAGTTCTACAAAACCCGACACAACATCATCCTTAGTGCCGGCATCTTCTTCGTGTCTGCAGGTAAAGGGATGCACAGGGCCTGACGCCCCAGAGATGGGCTC